TAGAGATCTCCTTTAAGCCGTCTGCAGTTGGCACTAGAATTTCTACCCACCCAACTTTTCTAAGCACAAAAACCTGTAATACTCACCTTGAATCCAGTACTGGATGAGGTTCTTCTCGCTCTTTCCACGTCACATCCTTCTGTCTCAAAGGTCAAATCAAATGCTTCTCATAGAGAAGGATTTGATGGAGCCCTTCTCACCGGTTCGGAGTGCATGTGCACACTCTGAGCTGGGGAAGGATTAAAAAAAAATACAATTCCAAATACATGTGGGAGTTCCAGGCTGCCTAAGCAAAGTGTGCAGAATGTTTAACGGTCTCCTGGCACAAAATGCAGATATATCTGTATGAGTAGCGTCTAAAGCAGGAGTGATCATTGAGGTTGGAGTAACGATTTAAGAATGTGCTTTTGACATGCTAAATGTAGTAACCACTTTATTCAGTGGCAGCAAATTGAATAAATAAAATAGTCAGACAGGTATATTCACTAATTTGTGTATTTTTAGGAAATCAAACCTGATTTCATGTTTTAGACTTGGAATTTATTTGTCCCAGTTGAGCGCTTTTAGCCTAAAATCTGACATTTACCTTGAAACCCTGACAAGTCACATTTTAAGTAATAACCCTAGGAAATAACCCTGGAGGAGATTAAGCAAAGAAAAGTAGAAGACTGGACACAGCACAATTGGACCTTAGCATCACCCTACAATGTATTCCTCAATTTTATGATATTTCCTTAGAGGAGCACTGTAGACACCATAAACAGTTACATTGAAGTGGTTATGGTGTGTGAAGACAAGGTCACTGGGTACAGCATCACTGTTAAATGGTGAGATGGTTGATCCCTGGCAGTCTGCAGGCCGGACCCCTAAGACAAAATAGCAAAGCACTGCCCCACTTCAACACCACACCATGAATAGCAGGCACGGATTGGCTGAGACAGCTGAGTGTTCTGAGCTATTCCTTGTGCAAATTAATATTGCACAAGGTAGAGCATAGTCCCCTTCACCACATCATTTTTGGGGGCAGGGCTACCAGGGATAGAAAATCTCTACTACAATAATGTGAAGCCACTGACGCCAAACACCATAACCACTTCAGTCACTTGAAATAGTTATGTCACCTACAGTGTTCATTTAAAGCAAAATGCACATGAATAAATTGAGCATTGAGTAGAGGAAGTTATAGTAATTATATTTATACAGTAGAACACACTCAGGATTATTCATTAAAGGGAAACTAAGGTGCCAGGAAAACAAACTCGTTTTCCTGCACCATAGCTTCCCCTTCTGTCAAGGCCCCCTCCCGCGGCACTAAAGTGGTTAACAACCCCTTCAGTCACTGCTTCAGTCGGCTGCTGGCGGGGAAGACCTAATGCATTATTCAATGCTTTCTTACGGGGATTCCGACGACGCTCGAAGTCCTCATGCAGAGCGTGGGAATGTCGAACGTTATTTAAAACACTTTTGGTGCTCTAAGAACACGGAAGCACCATCTAGCGGCTGTCTGAGAGACAGCAACTAGAGTTGGGATTCGCCCTGTAATCAAAACACTGCGGTTTCTCCAAAACAGGGCTAAGGGGAGAGGGGCAAGGCACCCAGACAATTCTAATGGGCAGAAGTGGTCTGGGTGCCTACAGTGTCCCTTTAATGTGAGAACTGATGGCAATTCAAAGTGGCTTTCAAATTTAAAGACAAAATTCTATGAAACAGACTGGGAGAATTTTTCGAGTTCAAATTGAAAATGTGAGATATCTTATTTGCCTCACGTTTATTTACATTTATATGTGGACAGTGCTTGAAACATAATAAACAATGTTAGAAGAAAAAAGTAACTATGTATATATAAAGAATCCCAGTGCATACTGGCAATAAAGTAATAAATGGTGCATCTGAACAATGTAAATTTCTGTTACCTCTTCTAAATTAGTTTATATTAGACTGTATTGGAAAAACCAACACAAACATAGTATTCAAAGGAATACTCCAAGTACTAGATTCACTCAAGCTTCACACAGTGGTTTTGGTGCAAGAAGCCTGTCTCTGCAGTCTCTCAAATTCTAAATATTGCCTATTTGTTACTATAGACAGCCTCTACAAATGGTTCTTATTAGGGTCAGGCAATATTTTAACTACCTATGCTCAGTGCTCTAAATTTAAGCATGAGGAGATTCTGACTATAGCAGCTTGGCAATCACTGTGCATGTGCAGTAACTAGCACCTCCCCAATGCTTCTCAATGGAGAAGAATCGAGTTAGCGGAGTATAACAGTAATGATGATTTCAGCCTGGGGTGGGGCAGTAGCTGTGGCAAGACAGGACATAGCGATGGGTTAAAGGAAAGTTAAATAATTTAGATATAATTGGGGATCCTAAATATAAATATGCAAGAGGAAACTAATGTTAGTCATACATGTTTATATTTCTAACATCAGAGTTTCCCTTTAAAGCAAAACTATTAGGCATACAAACCTGTATTCCTAACACTACAGTGTCTCCCACTCCCCCCCACCCCAAGTTTTCTAAGACTGTAGACCACCATTGTTTCACAGAGTTAAATTCTGTGACAAGCCAGAATGCACCTCTAGTGGCTGTCAGTTTTAGATTGCAGGGTTAAAGGGACAGGGACATTGCACCCAGACCACTTCAATGAGATAATATGGTGTGAGTGACTATAGTGTCCCTTTCATAATGGAGCACAATTAAAAATAGAAACGACCATAAATATTGTTTCCAGCAATCATTGAAAATCATTTGAAGCAATGACAGCTAATCTACATCCCTCCAGCTGTTGAAAATTTCAACTTGCAGACAGAGCATCGTAGGAAATGTACTTCTTATCAACTGGAGCGACAGAAGTTAGTTGTCACAATCTTAGATTTCCCAACATAAATTTCAATTATTGCTCATTTAGATTCATTCACATCATTGAATTTATAGAACTGAAAAGCACTCTATAATATGTTGGTGCTATATAAATGCTTATAGTTCTGTTCAAGACCACAGACTCATTGTAGTACCATTTAATATAGCAAGCATCATTATATGTCGGACTACAGCAGTGCACCGCATATAGTAACCAGGCATCCTTAAAGTTCAGGGCATCCAGATCAATCATGCTTTGCTGGACATTTATCCCTTCATGGAATGAGCAGTATATGAAAAATTCTGCCCACATCTAATTAGAATTCAAAAAACCATATTAAATGCAGTTCCTTTTGGACCAATTCTTGAGTAATCAATGAACTGATTTTACCCTGCAACATATAAATTCTATATGCTGCAGACCAGTCTTTACGGAACAGAATTTCTCTACCACAGCCTGATGTTTAGAAAAGCGAGATCATCACAAAACAATTCAACATAATACATTGTGTGCCGAGGTAGGGACTGAGCACATTATGTGTAGTGTGCAGGCACTCAGATGGTTAATATCTGAACAGCACTAAAAAACTGATTAGGAGGTTTGAATTTCATATGCTAAAACTGTCTGACTTGAAGACCCAACTTCTAAATAAGAAAATGCATTGAAATTCTCTTTATCATTTCCCGCTGTGAGCGTGCACCTGTCAAAGAACATTGTCTGCTCCAAAATAAAAAAATTGAATCGTTAACAAGAAATTGTAACTCACACACAAGAATGATCTTCATGACCCTATTCAGAAATGCAATGAATATTTTGAATAATAAAATAAAGGTGACGTGCAGGGCTTTTTTCGGAGTTAACATATTGCAGACGACCAGATGGGAACATGGAAAAAAACAAAGGGTCATATCAGTCCCGCAGCATAATCTAAAAGCCAATGAATTAATGTGAACGACAATTAATATTTGTGATGGGAGATTTAAGGAAACTGATTTATTTAGCTCAGTGAATGCATGAATTATACTATTTGTTAGACGAATATTTACAGACATCTTGAAGTTAGTATATATCTTATTTCAAATTAGGGGGTGATGGGTTTATAAAAGTTCTGCTAACAGAAAAATGGGGCAAAGTAATTCAAGTTCAGAATTCTCTATAGAACAAATGGTTATTCACTAAATTCCAAGCCTATTTTAATTGTTATAATGTCAAGAGTGGCCCCTCCCACAGTAAGAGCGTCGGGGCAATCATTTATGATACAACTTATCTTGAGTTCACTACCACAGGAAGCTCTGCCAACGAGTTAAAGGGTTACTATAGCTTATTGAATTTGTTCTGGTGAGTAGAATCATTACCATCAGGCTTTTTGCTGTAAACACTGTATTTTCAGAGAAAAGGCAGTGTTTACATTACATCCTAGTGATAACTTCACTGGCCACTCCTCAGTAGAGATGTCGCGAACCGTTCGCGAACTTCCCGCGAACGGCTCGCCGCAAGCGGCGAGCTCCGGTCAGCTGACACATCCCGGCCAATCTCCGGCAGACCCTCCCTCCCAGACCCTCCTACTTCCTGGACAGCATCCATGTTGAAGGCAGCTTCAACATGGATGCTGTCCAGGAGGTCGGAGGGTCTGGGAGGGAGGGTGTGCTGGAGATTGGCTGGGATGTGTCAGCTGACCAGAGCTCGCCGCTAACCGCGGCGAGCCATTAGCGGGAAGTTCGCGAACGGTTCGCGACATCTCTACTCCTCAGATGGCTGTTAGAGATCCTTCCTGGGTCATGGCTGCCTAAAATGCATCCAAACATTCAGTATCTCCTCCCTCTGCATGCAGACACTGAACTTTCCTCATAGAGATTAATTCAATTAATCTCTATGAGGAGATGCTGATTGGACAGGGCTGCGTTTGAATCATGCTGGCTCTGCCCCTGATCTGCCTCTTTGTCAGGCTACCACTTCTGATGTTGTCAGCAGACTCCTTGTTTTTTTTTTTTTTTAGGCAAACAGCATGCAGATGTACAGCTTCTGGCTTGAATACATTAAAATTTTGCTATATTTATGGACGCATGAGGAGCCCAGGGGGGCTAGATGGTGGTCTTAAAGGACCACTATAGTGCCAGGAAAACATCCTCGTTTTCCTGGCACTATAGTGCCCTGAGGGTGCCCCCACCCTCAGGGACCCCCTCCCACCCGGCTCTGGAAGGGGGAAAGGGGTAAAAACTTACCTTTTTCCAGCGCTGGGCGGAGAGCTCTCCTCCTCCGATCCTCCTCCTGGGCTGAATGCGCACGCGCGGCAAGAGCTGCGCGCGCATTCAGCCGGTCGCATTATGAATGCTTTCCTATGGACACTGGCGTCTTCTCACTGTGAAAATCACAGTGAGAAGCACGAAAGCGCCTCTAGTGGCTGTCAATGAGACAGCCACTAGAGGAAATAGGGGAAGGCTTAACCCATTCATAAACATAGCAGTTTCTCTGAAACTGCTATGTTTATGAAAAAATGGGTTAAACCTAGCTGGACCTGACACCCAGACCACTTCATTAAGCTGAAGTGGTCTGGGTGCCTAGAGTGTTCCTTTAACACTATAGGGTCAGGAATACATGTTTGTGTTCCTGACCCTATAGTGAACCTTTAAGCCTGGGGGTACAGGGCCCCATATATTGCCTAAGAGAGCACTGCAGATGCTCTTAGCCAATGAACCAGAACTGCAGGGCTTAGCTCAGGAGAACTACGCTCCTCACTGGAGTCTGGGTTACAAGGTAGGTGGCAACAGTCCCCTGGCAAGGTATCAAATCATTCTTTAACAGTTTGTCTAACACTGTGGGAGTGTGCCAATGCATTCCTTCCAACAAAACAATGACTGCAGGTAACGGTCAGGGTGCATAGAATGTTTATTTAACCTATGACTACAAATATAATAGAGTATTCACTAAAGTATGATTTAAAAAAAACAAAAAAATTTTAGAAAATCTAGGTGAATTTAACATTTTAGGGCAAAATAGTCAAACTGAAAACATGTGTGATATGGAGAATGTTTGTAAATGATCAGTGGTTCTGTCCCAAAATTTGTATTTCTGACAATTCATACTTTAAAGGAACATTATAGGGTCAGGAAAACAAACATGTATTCCTGACCCTATACTGTTAAAAATCAACCTTGGCCCCCCATGCTCGCCTAAATAAAGTAAAATATTACCTGTATTCCAGCCTGCTGGTGCTGGCTCTGCCCCTGATGTCCCTCTTTGGCTGACATCATCAAAAGTGATGATCTCAGCCAATCACAATGCTTTCCCAAAGGAAAGCATCAGATTGGCTGAGATTGTCAATTCCGATGATCTCAGCCAAGGAGCGGGGGTCGGCGGAGCCAAAAGCCACCCTGACCAATCAGCATCTCCTCATAGAGATGCATTGAATCAAATAAATTAAATAAATGCATTTCTATGAGGAAAGTGTCCCAATGCAGAGAGTGGAGACAATGACCGTCAATGCTGCACAGTGTGCAGTACTGCCCCAGGAAGGCATCAGAGGAGTGGCCACTGAAGGCATCCCTAGGAAGCAATGTAAACATTGACTTTTCTCTGAAAAGGCAGTGTTGACTGCAAGAAGCCTGCAGGGACTGACTATAACCACCAGAACAACTACATTAAGCTGTAGTTGTTCTGGTAACTATTGTGTCCCTTTAATAAATAACCTTCAACGTAACCATGTTCGGCAATCACTACACCAAACAGCATCTCCTCAAAGAGATGCATTGGCACAGTCCTTCTTTATGGTGAGCACTCGGTTTATCAATGCAGAGCGTGGAGACGATGAGCTTCAATCCTGTAATCTTTACAGGACAGCATCCATGAAGCCTCCATAGTCTGTTTGACAGCCACTAGAAAAAGCCTTAGTCAGCAATCTAAGCACTACCTTTTATCAGAATAGGCAGTCATTACACTGCCAATACTGCAGGGACAGTCTCCTTGCCCCAGAACCACTACATTAACATGTAGTAATTCTGCTGCAGAGGGAATAGCTTTAAAGGACCACTCCAGACACCATAACCAATTAATGTAATTTCCAAATGGTTAAACATCCAAGTGAAATTCATTAGACACCAGTCTATCCTCCTCCTTGGTTAAGTAGCAGGCACATGCTGCCCCCTCAGAGAGTAATGCTGCAGAAAACCAGATATACTTTTCAAGCAGCATTCACTATGGGAAGCCAGTGAAAGGCTAAAAGAGTTAAAGGCTGTGATTCCATCATTCAAAGATGGTGGGAAGATAGACCAACCCCCGGAATTTGAGTCGGCCACTCAATGGTCCATTTAAAGGGTTACTCCAAGCACCATAACAACTTCAGTGATTTAAAGTGGTAATAGTGTCTTTACAGGCAGTGTTTTGCTATAAAACTCTACACACATAGAGATTAACCAGGAGCATCTTTGGGAGAAATTAACTATATTTACAGAGTTTAAACCCCCCTGTCCACAGACTGACATCACTGTGTATTAACAACCCCCCTGCATCCACATACTGACATCACTGTGTATTAATCCCCCTGTGTCCAGAGGCTGACATCACTGGGTATTAATCCCCCTGTGTCCAGAGGCTGACATCACTGGGTATTAATCCCACAGCCTGACATCGCTGGGTATTAATCCCACAGAGTGGCATCGCTGGGTATTAATCCCACAGAGTGACATGGCTGGGTATTAATCGCACAGAGTGACATGGCTGGGTATTAATCCCACAGGCTGACATGGCTGGGTATTAATCCCACAGGCTGACATGGCTGGGTATTAATCCCACAGGCTGACATGGCTGGGTATTAATCCCACAGGCTGACATGGCTGGGTATTAATCCCACAGGCTGACATGGCTGGGTATTAATCCCACAGGCTGACATGGCTGGGTATTAATCCCACAGGCTGACATCACTGGGTATTAATCCCACACAGTGACATCACTGGGTATTAATCCCACACAGTGACATCACTGGGTATTAATCCCACACAGTGACATCACTGGGTATTAATCCCAAACAGTGACATGGCTGGTTATTAATCCCACAGAGTGACAACACTGGGTATTAATCCCACACAGTGACATCACTGGGTATTAATCCCACACAGTGACATCACTGGGTATTAATCCCACACAGTGACATCACTGGGTATTAATCCCACACAGTGACATCACTGGGTATTAATCCCACACAGTGACATCACTGGGTATTAATCCCACACAGTGACAGCACTGGGTATTAATCCCACACAGTGACAGCACTGGGTATTAATCCCACACAGTGACAGCACTGGGTATTAATCCCACACAGTGACAGCACTGGGTATTAATCCCACACAGTGACAGCACTGGGTATTAATCCCACACAGTGACAGCACTGGGTATTAATCCCACACAGTGACAGCACTGGGTATTAATCCCACACAGTGACAGCACTGGGTATTAATCCCACACAGTGGCAGCACTGGGTATTAATCCTACACAGTGGCAGCACTGGGTATTAATCCCACACAGTGACAGCACTGTGTATTAATCCCACACAGTGACAGCACTGTGTATTAATCCCACACAGTGACATGGCTGGGTATTAATCCCACACAGTGACATGGCTGGGTATTAATCCCACACAGTGACATGGCTGGGTATTAATCCCACACAGTGACATGGCTGGGTATTAATCCCACACAGTGACATGGCTGGGTATTAATCCCACACAGTGACATGGCTGGGTATTAATCCCACACAGTGACAGCACTGGGTATTAATCCCACACAGTGACATGGCTGGGTATTAATCCCACACAGTGACAGCACTGGGTATTAATCCCACACAGTGACAGCACTGGGTATTAATCCCACACAGTGACAGCACTGGGTATTAATCCCACACAGTGACAGCACTGGGTATTAATCCCACACAGTGACAGCACTGGGTATTAATCCCACACAGTGACAGCAGTCAGGTACACAGTGTGAACTCTTGGAGTGCAGTTGTCCATATTGAACCCCAGTATTGTCTGAGCTGCTCTGTCCATGGAGAGGATGCTGAAGCTGAACACTGGTACACTGGTTCCCCTCCTGCAGTCAGGGGCCCCGGCAGCACCCCCTCTCCCTGGGCAGCAGTGATAGCCACGGTGTGCACTTACCTCCTCGCTGGCAGCAGAGCCCACGAGAGAGCAGCGAGAGGATGAACTATCGCGAGAGTTACAATATGAGCCTTTCACACAGAGTATTGCGAGCTCCTACTCACACTCACACTCACGGCTCCCTCGCCAACACGGAAACAGGCCTCTACACTCCGGGCCGCGGTGACCCACCAAGCCGGCGGCAGCCCTAGAATCGCTACGCAGCGAGGAGACTACAACTCCCTCGCTCGCTGTATGTGACGTCAGAAACCCGCGCCGCTCAGTCGGGCTGCACGTTGTTTCCAGGAGAGTTCGCAGAGCCTTGTATGTGATCGGTTCAGGATGCCGAAAGTCAAAGCGGAGAAGAAAACCCGGAAACACCAGGCAATCAGGAGCCAGGGTATGTTTATTAATACTCATTACTTAGCAATACAAATGGACAGCGAATGCTGCAAGACCAAATGGAGGTATTTACAAGGAGCCATAAAAAGAATATTGCTGGCCAGTGATGGATAACATGTGGACAGCCAGCCCTTATGGTTTGTATATAGGTATGTGTATACACACAAACACACACAGGCACAAAGGTAGGTATACATTCTTCCAGTACTGCTTTAGAATTCACTCTCTTTGTTCTTGACTCGAGTCCACTGTCTTCATTCACAAAAACAGTGAAGAAATATACTTTTATCTGCCCTCCAATGTTCTATGTAACGGCCAAACTGATATTTAAAGGAATTCTATAGTGCCCGGAAAACAAACCTGCTTTCCTGGCACTATAGGCTCCTGCAGTGCCCCTCTCCTTCGCACCTGCCCTCCCGCGACGCTGAAAGTGTTAAAACTTTACCCCTCGGCGCTGGGTCAAGCTGCGCCCACACTCCTCCCCCGCCGTCAGCCGGTGGGGGAGACCTAATGCGCATGTGTGGTAAGTGTTGCTCTCGCATTAGAATTTTTCCATGGGAAAGCATTATTCAATACTTTCTTATGGGAAAATCTGACGCTTGAAGTTCTCATGCAGAACGTGATGCCGTTGATTTCAGATAACGGACCAAGAGTCTGTTTCAATTCTGGAAGTCCCTCTAGTGGCTTTCTGATAGACAGCCACTAGAGGTGGAGTTAACCGTCAGAGATAATTATTGCAGTTTCTCAGAAACTGCAATAATTACCACAGTAGGGTTAAGGGACATGATACGTTGCACCCAGACCACTTCAATGAGCTGAATTCTGGGTGTCTACAGTGTCCCTTTAAATGCCTAAAATTGAACTGCCACTTTGTTGTGTGTCAGTGTGTATGTGTACCCATATAAGCTGTCATGATGGCTTTCAGTGATTCAACTGTTTAACTGCATACCTACTTTTAGTCGAGCAACATGTACAGCAAATAAAAAGTGGATAATATGGGCTTCAAATAAGCAGTGAGTTTGTAATGTGTGACACTTTAATCTTCCCATAACAACTTTTTAACTGTTTATTTTTAGGGGTTATGTTCAACACTGGAATTGGTCAGCATATTTTGAAGAACCCCCTGATTGTGAACAGCATTATTGATAAGGTGCGTAAAATATTTTGCTTGGGATCAGTATCTATCATCACAGTGCAAAGATATCACAACTCATTGAATCACATTTAGTATTTCACATTGTTCTTAATGCTATTATAAAAGTCTCCGTTAACTGAGTAAGATTTCATAGACTGTCAATTGTGACTTAGCATATTATTTTGTTAATAATGCATTTTTTTTCTTAAATCTGCGTAAAATTTGATACTTTGGGATTACTGCAAATTTAGTATAAATAAAGAATATAATAAATAGTTTTGTAGTCAAATAAATATTTTCCCTTTTTTTGAACACCGTTGTAAAATAATTTTAAGTTGAATTGTTGGCCACAGCAGGTTCAACTTGTGGTCTTGAATCCTATTAAATTATAATATTACAAAATGTTTAGACACTTTACAAAACTAACTGTGAAAAGGATTTAGTTGAATTTCAATAGGATTTACTTATAGATATTAAGGTTTCACCAGTTACATCTTAATGTTTAACTTGGACAGAATACAACTTTTACATAATTCTGACTTTTTATACCCATGATCTAATAAAGCAGAAAACTCTTGTATAGGTATGTGCGCTTCACATTTTGCTGCTAATAAGTCACAGGATTTATAATTAATATTTCTCATTTAAATTACAGGCTGCGATTAGACCTACAGATGTTGTTCTTGAAGTGGGTCCTGGAACCGGTAACATGACAGTGAAGCTCTTAGAAAAGGCAAAGAAGGTAATTATCTTAACAGGTCTCATAGCTTTTCAATCAAGCTGGTAAGGTATCACTGACTTCGTACGAGGGTCCTATGATTGTTAGCCCGATTCTCTGTCAATCATCATTTTATTGTTTTCTTTTGCTTTATATATTGGAAGCTCTAGCACCATTACAGCAGACTGTAGTGATCATGACACTTAAAGAGTTACTCTAGCATCCATGACTAATTATGCTTCTTAAAGTGGTCATGGAGGAAGGAATCTGTATGTGTAGCATTTCAGCTTGACACACTGCATAACCATAGTTATCTGTACTTGTGTGCTAGGGACTAGTTACACCCCCAGCACAAGTGACATATGCAGCCCTAGATTCTGTTCCAAGATCCTAATGTCTATTTTACGTCTATAGTCCGTGCACGCTGGCAACAGATGACATGTGATTATACTCAGTGATGTATTTAGTATCTGTGCTGCACTAGGCATGATGGAACTCGGGCACCCCCTAATTTACATTTGCCCCACCTCTTCCTGTCAGTGCCACACCTCTTCCTGTTAAACAACTAACACACACTTTGACTGACAAACTCTCAGATACACTGACATACACACACTGATTTGACACAAACAATCACTGACATACAGGCATACACAATCACACACATTCACTCAGACACACAGGTGCCCTCACAGACGCAATCACTCAGAAACACACATATTCACTGACAGACAGCCACACACTGACAGACATACACACAATCACTCAGATACACACTGACAGACATACACACTGACAGTCCTTCCTCCTCCCCCTCCCCAAACATTAACCAATTACTTTTTCTTTTTTAGTTTAAATCCACCCAGCCTCCCTACCTTTTGGGAGTGCTGGGTGGATTTTATTTTACTTGGGTTCCTGGGGTCCCTTCTGACAGGAAGGGAGGCAGGCGGGCAGCTAACTAATAATCCATACGGGCGGCGCTGGCGAGGGAGCACTGATTAGTGAGCTGTCTCTGCTCAGCTGTCTCGCGCGGCGTAGAGTGATGCCGGGAGCCGGAATATGACGTCATATTCCGGCTCCCGGCATCACTCTGCGCCGCGCGAGACAGCTGAGCAGTGAGCTCACAAATCAGTGCTCCCTCGTCTGCGCCGCCCGCCTGCTTGGACTGTAAGTTAGTCGCCAGGCTAACAAGGTATTTGCCTAGGCATTTGGGGGCGGCATTTTTTGCCGCCCCCTGGAAAGTGCTGCCCAAGGCAAATGCCTTGTTTGCCTTGCGGCAAATAGGTCCCTGATTATACCTCTGCAGGCATAGCCTAAAGGGTAGTCTAATGTCTCTCCTTCCACGCATTGACTTCTATGACATCAAGAGGGAGCATGGAAAATCAGCACCAGGAGCCTGACAGGGCTGGTTTTCAAATAAGTAAAACTTATTTTAAACCCATTTTTGTAGCAATCGTCATGGGGGGGACCTAAATACTAATGCCGAATAGGGTATTTTAATTTTTTTAATTATAAGAGTTGGTGGTAACCCTTTAAAGTTTCTTGCTAATATGCAGGTGCTCAATTTGCAAAGGACCTACCGCTCCAAATTAACATTGGGGGTTACCCTGCTTTTTTTTTCCCCTCTCTACCATAGGTGGTAGCTTGTGAACTTGATACACGACTTGTTGCTGAGCTTCAGAAACGAGTCCAAGGCTCGTAAGTATGACTGTTCCTAGAACAAAGCAATATGAAATCACCTTTGTCACTTATCATGAATTAAGTTTCATACATTTTAATGTTTCTGTACAGAGTTTTAGAAAAGGTTACACTATATTAGAAGTTTTTCTTTTTTTATGAGAAGGTAAAAGTCCTGTGTAATTGTCAGTGAAATAAATTATACTAGTTCAACAACAAAAAAACTCTATACATAATATATATATTTTATGGCTTATCTGCATTAAATAATATTGGAAACCCATGTACAAAAAATTGTCTTGAGTAAAATGCACATTGTGTGCAGGGAAGGTCATCGCAGTGTATTAACAAATGTAAAAATACAGCAAAAGCTGTTATACCGGCACCACTCTAAGTATAAGCTATACTTCTCGTCTTTCTGAGTATTTTATTAACGGTACATGATTTGCTTTCCTGATGTTCCTAAACCTTAAAGGCCAACTACAGTCAGGGCACTCTGTTCTTTAAAGATTTGAAAATGTAAGGATCCACTGAATAAATGGCTGTGTGCAGCCACCAAATCAGAACCAACAATGTCTTTAGGAACCAGATTGTGATAATGGCAAAGTCTCTAACTTTTGGCCATGAAGGGGCTAGTATTTAAATAAAAGTTAAACTCTATTCTGTACTTTGAATGATAAGTTGAAAACATATTTCTGCTTTTTATTTGTAGAGCAGCTGCAAACAAGCTCCAGGTCATGGTTGGGGATGTTTTGAAGACTGATCTGCCTTTCTTTGACCTCTGTGTGGCGAACTTGCCTTACCAGGTATTTCCTTATTACCTTCATACACTTATTACCATTATTATTGTCTGCATAGATTTATTATTAAAATGTTTTTTTTATGGGAAATGGGTTACATTTACTGACTGGTTTTAATCCTTTTCATTTTGTGTCATAAATGCCAAATAATGTTAACAATAAAAGTTATACGTTCTCTTTCCATAGATTTCATCCCCTTTTGTTTTCAAGCTACTTCTTCACAGGCCCTTTTTCAGGTACATTATTTAAATCCGTATTTTTCTCCCGTGTAAACAGGTTTAGCTTACCTCTGTAAAGCAGAACTCACCGCCACTTGACCACTTAGATTCTTACTGCCTATCTCAGCATCTCTGAAACCAACCTTGCCTGGTCCCTTGGATCAAACTTGCTTTTATCTTTCTTTGTATTCAATCCCATCCTGTTGCCCTTGCTGGTAAAACATTGTTTGATTACTCCTAAGATTGTAAAAAAAAAAAAAAAAATCTCTTGTCTGAACTTTTTTCTTTCTCATATCAACTACAATATGTATCACCCCTCGGTTTCTGCTTCATATTGCAGTAACCTCTAGTGCCATCCCACCAAGAATATGTCAAAGTTAAAAAAAAAAACACAAAAAAACCCAACTTCATTATATGACTGTTTCCCAGGTCCATCCCTCTATTATATGATGCTCTCTCCAACCTTTCCTTTAAAAAAAAAAAAGTGTATTTAAATAAAGATTTTCTTTGGTTGATCGCTTAATACAAATGCCCCCTACCAGTCCAGGATTTAGGGATTACCCTGTTATGTCTAAAGTGTTTTGTTTTTTGTTCTTTTCTAAAAACACGTAAACACAACTGGGTAATCCCTAAATCCTGGACTGGTAGGGGGTACATGAGGACTAGGTTGGGAACCACTGACTTAATACATTTTAATTTGCTTGAAGCTCTGACTGTTAAATTGTAGCTTGTGTTAATTGTCTCTGTTTCTCAAATGGTAGATGTGCAGTACTCATGTTTCAGCGAGAGTTTGCAATGCGTCTAGTGGCCAAACCAGGAGATAAGCTGTACTGCAGACTGTCTATCAACACCCAGCTCTTGGCTCGTGTGGATCACCTGATGAAAGTAAGAACATCTGCAGGGTCTAAAATAAGGCTTATTGCATGATTCAGAAGTTTTTCTTCTATTTAAAATTTGCATTACAGTTTTAATTAGAGCATTTTACAGCTGTGATTCAAAGAAACCAAGTTATAACAAACATGTATTTCTAACTCTATAATTTTAATCTGACTAGACTAGTGTTTTTTTATTTTTTATTTACCTTTCAGCCCTTACTGTGGCGGTCTCTGTAGGGAACAATTCCTTTTTGACTGAGACCATCATCATCATTACTGCACCAATCGGATGGTCTCTCTGAGACCATCTGATTGAAATGGCCAATTTTCACTTCGCTAGTTAGGCGGAAGCACCTTAAGTTGCTATCAGTGACAGCAGGATTCAAACAACAAGGACATGGCACCATTCATTGAGATTAAGGGGCCAGGGTGCATTTAGTGTCCTTTTAAAGAAGTCATACTGCGAACTGCACAAAAAAAGTTTATTAGAAGTCATGGTAGCCAAGACTTGATCCACTTGAAAAATGAATGAATGAGAATTCCTTGTGCACTAAATGAAATACATTCACAGTGTATCTACAGGAATGGTTAATTACCAAGTGTGTAAACATTGTATGATCTACACACTGGGAGGCTGGGTATCTATTGGTCTGTTAAAACACACGGTCTTCTGTTTTGTGTATGTTTTCATTAAATAATGCAGTGTATTGAGTGTATTTCTATTGTGTTTCGTGACAGGTTGGAAAGAATAACTTCAGACCTCCTCCAAAGGTGGAATCCAGTGTTGTCCGCATAGAACCGAAAAATCCTCCACCACCAATTAATTTTCAGGTAAGCTTTTAGAAGAGATGCGTTTTATGCGTACCTTAGTGTATCAGTATCCTTTCAGAATACCTTCATCAACTTTTCTTGATAAATAATGATTGTTTTCATTTATAATCTTGATGTTTAATGGATGCTATTCATTGCATTTTCTGCACCATACAACAGTAGAGTCTCACATGAATCATTTTAGTCACACCAATTGTAGCTGGACAAGAAAAAGGACAATTTTATAAACCTGCATCCATATCCAGATCTTTTATTTTTCATCAGCAACATAGTTATTGTATTCCTACAGCTAACTAACCAAATTTTTTTGTACAAGTACTGCACTCCGTATTGGGGCTTATTTACTAAATACCAAATTGTAGTGAATGAAAATCTGAACTGCAGAAATTAGCTAAGATTCTTCAGCCTAGATATATTCGTAGTATTTTAGCGTACATTTTTTTAATTTAGTTTTCAGTTTATTGCAATTTGTTGTCTATCTTGATGTTCTGGTGTTTTTGGGGTCTAACTGTCACAGATATCATGTACAATGTCAAAAATAATAAGATTAAGTTTTAGTAGGTGCAGACCATATCAAACAGATTCATTTATTTATTATTTCGTTATTTTGACCAACGATTTATTGACTTTTTCCCGAACGTCTTACTAAAGTTCTTTATTTATTGCATTACCTGTGGTGTTTGTGTAAAGTAAAACGTTTGGTGTTCTTCTGTGTAAGTGTATGGTAAAGTCTAACGTTTTCTCATTAGATAAATATATAATCAATTCTAAGTGCACCTGCTCAATTTATATCCATTTCTCATTATCAAAATAATTGCATGTATCAGAGCTATCCATATGGATAATGGAGGCCTAACACGTATAATGATTTTATACCTATTTTCCTGCTAGCAAAACCGATATGACATGTCTAAAATAATTAAGGACCCTTTCAATACAGTGTCCTTCAGCATGGTTGTAAAATTTTATTTATGTATTTTACCATACACGCAGGCACAAAAGAAAAAGTGTTTGGCAGATACACTCGACTTTACTGAGATTGTAAATAATTGAAACCTTGTTTTGCCCGTCCTTAGCAGGGACTTAACTCTATTTACACGTTAGAACAGCTTTCTCATAAAACAATTACTTTCATCACACACTGCTGATCCTGTAAACAGCTGATTGTCTGTTGACAATGAGAATGCCTGCATTCTAAAAATTGTTAATATCCTCTTCATTTCATTGCATCAGTGAGAAACACTGTAATAAGTATTTTAGCTCTTTAGCTTGTGATGGTCACCCAAATATGGCTGAGCATCATGGGGAAAAATCGACCTTCGCATTTAAAGTAGGACTGAACTATAAGAATAAATTTCTCTGTTGAATCACTGATTGTAGAAAATATTATTTCAGGAATGGGACGGTCTGGTCCGAATAGCTTTTGTCAGGAAAAACAAAACCCTTTCCGCAGCATTCAAGTAAGTCTACACCTGATATTCCCATTATAATTTCAGCCATTTTCCTTTTCTTATTCTGTACACCCTTCCACTTTTATAAGAAAATGTGTAGCCTATTGCATACACATTGGTGAGCATGCAATAGACTCTCCAGGTTTGTAGTGTCGAGTAACTTTTGGTGACCACATATAAACAGTTGTTGGCTGTAATAAACTACAGATTGTAAGTAAGCTTGTAGAGAGCATGTCTTCCATTGTAATTAGCCAGGCATCACATGTATATCACATGTATATCACAGCCATACAAACAGTTGTAGATCTGACTCCTGATTAATAATGATGGGAGTTGCACTTCCAAGTACCATAAACAACAACTGCTGGACTGCGTACAGTGCCGGAGCCACCTACAATCGAACACATCAAATTAAATTCCTTGTTATCAAAGTTTAGTTTTAAGTGCTTCTGAGAGAGGGAGAAAGTGTAGCTCTTGGTTGTTAGACTGGGGCTGTTATTTTTCTGTACAAACTTTGCTTACGTAGAAAAAAAAATGACAACAAGACCAACACACATTATGAGCCAATTTAATTTTTATAATATTTTAATTCCACTTTTTATTTTAATATTTGTATTAAAAATAGGAGGAAAACGTATTATCCTCAGTCAGCCTTCATCCATGTCGAGCTTGTGTGTGTGTGTGTGTGTGTGTGTTCATGTACTTGGAATGTTTCTGTGTGTTGCATTCCATAACAACTGGAACAGTCAGTCCCTGGCTTTTACATCTTGTGGAGCACTTTTTGTTTTACTCATGTAATATTAAAAAATACATAACATTGAAGAATATACTAGGAGAAAATCATGTCACCTCTGGTCTCTTGGTTTATTATGAGAAAAATAAATGTATAATAAAAAATGGCATTTCAGTGCAACTTATATAATGAAATCTCTGTGGTTTTGGAGTGATATTCCAGCTAGTACTTCCATTTATTCATTTTTAGATCCAGTGCCGTCCAAGAGCTTCTTGAAAAGAACTACAGAATCCACTGCTCAGTACACAACATTGTAAGTAGATTAAATTAACGAACATTTATAGAGCGAGTAATGCTCATACATAGATGGTTTTATCTCCATGGGATATTTAATATATGTCAGTATGTATTGTGATTGTCCCAGCATGCTTTTTACGGCAGCAAGAAGCTGGTGTTGAGAGCTGAACATAAATAAATTACTTGTTCCAAAATATACCGGTCTATCCAGTGAGGAAATCTAAAATGTAGCGGAAAAGTAAATAAATGTACATGTATTCCCCGTATACATGTCACATAGACCAATGGAAACTTGTAGCCAGGGACATAGCTATAAGAAACATTAATATAACCTATCCAGTTTCTGTAAAGTGCAGTGTTCATGGGCTGTTTGCTATAGTGGTTAACAGTGCAAGTGTTGGGGGTGTACTGCCAGAAGCGTAGTGGATTAACACTGTTTAGTGTAAATTAAATTTAAGGCAAATGAATTGATGACCAAACGTGAGGATATTTGCAATCCAGATGTGTGTATTGTTCCTCATTTGTAGTTAAAATATGCAGAATCACTGTTTTACTTGTGTAATACATAATTCAAGTGCATTATCTTTTTCTGTTTCTTGTTATATTAATGCAGGCAATTCCTGAAAATTTCAGCATTTCCGAGAAAATCGAAAAAATTCTTCAAGAAACTGGATTTAGTGAAAAACGTGCCCGAACTATGGATATAGATGATTTTATTAGGTAATTTTAATTTACTAGCATGGATGTTTTCTGTACTCTATATGTGTAATAGATCTGTGTTCCATGCCCTCATTCATGTGTTCTATTAAAACATTTTGCTAAACTGTACCGGATCAAACCTGCAGCTCCCTTGTTGGAATGCTGGGGTGCTATCACACCAGTGAATTGCTCGTTTTTGGCACTGCCATAACTGAGGGGTCTATTTACTAAATCTGCTCTGACAGAAGTACAATTCATTGTGCTTCAACACATTCGGCTGGCATTATACTAGTGACATACAAAACAATAATTGATGAAATAAGAGCTTATTAAATCAGGAAGAAGATATTAATTGACATAAGAAGGAAAAGGGAGCAAGTGATATGGGGAAGGTGTGAGGGTTAGTTAGACCTGAGAAGGTGTAAATTAATGTATACACATTCTTACTAAGGGTTCCTCATGGCACAAGTACCTCTGGACTGAGGGGTTAATGCTGGAATAAGTCTAATCAACTGCAACCTTTGTACATAAATCCCCAAGTAATGTGTATTGTTTACAACAACTTTGCAAAATATTACGGGTGTCTTGTGGGAGATGATTTAAAAAAAAAAAATGTTTGTGTTATGATTTTTAGTTTTATGTTTCTCTTTCCTTTAATGCAGGGGTAGGGAACCTTCTGCCCTCCAGATGTTTTGGACTACATCTCCCTTGATGCTTTGCCAGCATTATGGCTGGAAGAGCATTATGGGAGATGTAGTCCAAAACATCTGGAGGGCTGAAGGTCCCCACCCCTGCTTTAAAGGAATACTATAGGCTCAGGAACACAAACATGTATTCCTGCCACATAGTTTTAAAACCACAATTTAGGTGGCTTGCCCCCTTAGAAAGGGTTAAAACTTACTTTATTTCCAGCTCTCCACGGGTCTGCAGGAGTTGGCCCACTCCTGACCCCCCTCTTTGGCTGACATTATCAGAATTGATGATCTCAACCAATCCAATGCTTTCCCACTGACATCGTCAAGGAGGCAAGGCCAAATGCCGCTCTGGCCAATCAGAATCTCCTCATAGAGATGCATCATTATTATTGGTATTTATATAGCGCCAGCTTATTCCGCAGCGCTTTAAATTAATCCACGCAGAGCGTGAAGTGCATCTGAGGAGTGGCCAGTGGAGGTGTGACTAGGCTTCTATGAAAAGACAGTGTTTACTGCAAAAAGCCTGCAGAGACTCACTATACCCCCCAGAACTACTACATTAAGCTGTAATTGTTTTGGTGACTACAGTGTCCCTATAAGCAACAGAGTATTCACATATTTTAGAGAATTCAGTGCAGATTTCAAAATGTTACTTGGATAGCGGAGTTGGAAAAATTCTCAATTGCTCCTGTTGTTACAGCTTAACTGTTTTAACCTCAGATCTGCAATTTTTATTCATTAAACTTCATAGTGAGGTGAGATTTGTAGCTAACGCCAAAATGAATTTAAAATTTTAGGTTGAAATGAAAAATTGATTTGGAGAATGTTTCCTGTTCATTTATCATGGCCTAGACGATTAGATCCACTTTGAATTCCTAGGAATGAATTGTCAATCTTTGGGAATGTATTTAATGTTATTGTAAAGCATTCAAATGTAAAAGAATATTTACTGTTTTTGCTTTTAGCCTTCTCCATGGATTTAATGCTGAAGGAATTCATTTTTCTTAATCATCTCAACAATTCATTATCCTTTTCGCTGGAAACCCATCGTTGAACCGTGCATCAATTTTTAAGTACTTTGACAGATATGAACCAATCACCTTCACTTGACATTAGTGATTTGTATACAATATGTAATATATAAAGAAATATGTGTAACTGAATATGTAAACGAACAATAAAATTATCTTTATTTAAAAAAGTATGTTTACAACTATTTTGTGTTTGGTAAATTGATGCCTGTCTTGTTAACCTAATTTAAGATTTTATTTTTTTATATATATATATATATATATATATATATATATAATGTCCAGATGATAGCATTATTCTCTGGTACTTAAAATTCTAACCATATAGGTCTGCATTATAACAGAGAATGCTTTCTGTTCTGTGGTTGCCCATCCCCCTAATTGGTGACTTTCTGGAGAAGCTGTGTTGAGAGCAGCAAGTTCAGTCAAAATCATTGGGTGCTTGTGATAAAAGTCCTGCAAGCTGAAGTTATGGTGCTTAGTTACCTTTTTAATTGTCCTTCAAATTATAGCACAGATGTCCAAAAGTTAGACCCTAGCCTGCTATAAAACTAAAGTTCCCATGATGCTTACTGATAAAGCACGATGGGGTGTTCTATACCTGTCTGTATTATATAATTTGGTCTCTCCTGAGCATCCATATTAGTAGCACTGAGCTTTTATTTGATTGTAGAAATGTGACTGGTTTGTTCTCTGGAGGGCATTCAGTGTAGAGGAGGTAAGAAAGCTCTCATCACTATTTCATTTGTTAAGAGTCTACATCCCTGATGGGCCTCCTTAAAAAACAGGAGTTCTACTGTGGAGCTGCCTCAGCTTGCATTTATTACCGCATGTGCAAGGCATATCCTGCAATATGGGTCCAGCCCCACTGCTGCTGGCAAGTTCAAGTTGTTGGTGCTGGCTTATTGGTGATTCTGGAGCTTTTGTGAGCATATTATTTTCGAATTGTCATTTTGCCAAATGCATTGATACAATTGTTACAGGAAAAAGTTACAATACTAAACAAGCCCAGACACGAAATAAGTGATTTTAAACAATAGTTCTTGCTGCAAAATAATTTTATTTTAGATTGTTGCTACTACACCTAAATTTGCACTTGCTTATATTTATATAAATTCCTGTCCTAATGTGTTTTAAACTCCACCTCCTATAGAATGTAAGCTCGATTGAGCAGGGTCCTCTTCAACCTATTGTTCCTGTAAGTTTATTTGTAATTGTCCTATTTATAGTTAAATCCCCTCTCATAATATTGTAAAGCGCTACGGAATCTGTTGGCGCTATATAAATGGCAATAATAATAATTTGGAGGGACAGGCTATTCTTTGATTAATAACTATTCCAGGAGTATGACATTACTGCAAGATATTAAAGGGAAACTATAATGCCAGGAAAAAGTGTTTTCCTGGCACTTTAGCTCCCTATAGTGCTTCCATCCCTAATGTGGCATTACTGCCACTTACCTATTATCCCTTTGCCCTGGTTCATGCTGTGCCTCCACCCATTCCCCCGCCAACATCAGCCAGGAGGGGAGACCGAATGTGCAAGCGCCGCGTTCGCATTAGGACTTTTCCCATAGGAAAGCCTTGCATAAGCATTGGGTGACGCTGGATGTTCTCATGTATACCGTGTGCAGAGACATAACTAGAAACCACAGGGCCCCGATGCGTCTACCCCCTCTCCACACATGCAGACACACATACCCATACAGACACACATACACTAACACACACATGCAAAATCCTTTAGTTACCCTCCTGTTTCTTACCTTTTAGGTGCAGGAGGGTGACTTTTACTGGGGTCAAGTGGCTCAGACTGATTGTAGTCAGAGATTCCACTCTGACTCCTCCCTTGCGGCACAGTGAATGCTGGGAGGAAGTGACTGGGGCTGTCACTTCCTCAAAGCGTCTGGCATCATCAAAGGTGGCCCTGTTGCGCTGGCAGAGCCCCCTGGAAATTATCAGGTTGGGCCCCTGACTGCGCGGGCCGGGGTCGAGTTACATAGCTGGCGGACACCCTGGTCCCAGGGGTACCGGGCCCACTGGAGTGGCAGGCCTGGTCGCAGCTGCAACCGCGGTAGGTCCGCCATTGAGCGTGAGGATATCCAGCATCAGGAGACCAAAAGTTGCCTAACTACACGGTAGACTTAAAGGGATCAAAACAAAACCATTTTCCTGGCACTATAGGCTCCTGGAGCATCCCTCTCCTGCGATGCTGAAGGGGTTAAAATACCTTCAGCCACTTACCTGAATGCAGTGCCGATGTCCCTTGGCGTTGGGTCAGGTTCCGCCGGCGGGGGGGGAGGGGTGTTAATGGCCGTGCGCACATTAGACTTAACCATAGGAAAGCATTTTTTTTAAATTCTTTCCTATGAGGAAAATCTGACGCTGGAGGTCTGTGAGGATGTCCAGCGTCAGATAACTGACCAAATGTCAGTTTGATTCCGGAAGCCCACTGAGGGCAGACTTAGATTGATGGTGGCCTTACTGCCTCCAAAGCAGGCCAAGAAAGTTAATCTCAATGGCATTTTCCAAATCCCTAAATCACAGCAGGCCATGGATGCAGCACCCAGAGACCTGGTGGTGCAATTTCAACATCATAGAAATTAAGCAGCCTTGAAGGGGACTTCTCCCTACACATTTGAAAAGGTATCCTTCTATGCAGATCTTACTGGGGACAAACTACAATGGCGGAAAACTACGCCCCATCACCACTCTCGTCAGAGACCGTGGCATGCTATACCATTGGCACTTCTCACGGATAATGGTGATCCTGTCTCTCACAACAGTGAGTTAAATATAAATAAAGAATAAAATAAAATTAAAAAAAGGCCGAAGCCAAGTAGAGACAAAGCTTGACGCCACAGGAATGAAAATATATATTATATATATATATATTTATTTTCCTTGAGAGATTAGAGGCAATACAATACCACAGAGATATCCACAATCCACTGAACAGGACACGCAGGCTGTAGAAATGTAACAAACAAAAATGTACATTGGGGCGTGGTCGACCTGCCAATGCAAATAGCCACCTAATTCGAAGCTCCGTCCAACTAACAGGATTCCCACTACTTGTATACCACCACACAGGAGAATATAGGAAAGAACTCACAGGCTATAAGCTTATTTCAGCCCCAGGAGTCCTGACCCTCAGACAAAACACTTTTCCTGGCAGCATTTGTTCACCATGGAGGACTTTGCCACACAGATACTATTTGAGACCTGCCATTACCCAGCAGCCTCTGCGTCTGAGCCGTCTTTACCATGCCAGGACGCGAAATATTCCCTCACAGCCTGTGGACTGAGTCTGATTAAGGCTTACCCACTAAAGACAACCTAAAAGGTGAATGCAAGTGCAGACTGAAAGGGTATCCTTGATTGAGGTAGACCACAACATGACAACTCAGCCCACGACCTCTAACACCTTGGAGTGTCAAACCGCCTAGCTCCAGCACATGGCTTTGCACCTAGAGGACCTAGACATTACGGATTGCTGCCAGAACAGGAGACCCAGCTACAACTTTAAACCCTTCATCTTTAATGATCTTCTACACCAGGACAGAAATTAATCAAATCTGATTTGTGAGATCACACAGGGCACTGTGTGTCTGAAAAAGCCTACAGGGCACCCCCTCTGAGATGTCATCTGCTACTTGACAAATTATGGCCTTACGAGATCTTACCAGTGTCTAGAGACGCACAAAACGTAATGTTTGACCAACATCACCTACAGCTCTTTCCAGACCAGTCAACTACTACTCTGATATGACAGTCCTTAAATGAATACAAAAGTACCAAAACACGCTCACCTAAATGCGTTCAAGTACCCCACATGTTTAGATCCATGCACACTTGCTAATTCATGGATTGTTTCATCACACGTAGGCCAGAGAGAGTTTAACACACAGGAGGCTCCACTGGTACAATATTACATCTGAATCTGGACTAATACATGGTACATCCTACTCCAGACTCTTGCACATGGAGGTTATGACAAAACAGAAAGGACCCAATTGCTAGAAAACATCCAATCACCTAAGAGGCAGGAACATACTCTACACAGAAGAACTTCCATTGTACATGAGCCCAGTCATAATCTGGACCTTCCTTATCTGTTGGTGCTGAACATCTTATGCTTATTAGGCTGCACACTGACTCTCCATGGGAGAACTGAAGCGTCCCCACCCACAAGGAACAGGATGGTGTGTTCAAATGATGGACACTAGGGCTAATCTACCTTTGTACATAAGGATTCGCTCTGACCTCTGGGAGCTCTTGGGCTTATGCCTATAATGAGACCCAATCCTGCCAGTTGGCAGGGCCTCAGTCGCAGGGGGATGCTCTCATAGCATCCCCTGTTGTGAGTCTGCAGTGGGAAAGGGGATGAGGATAACCTAAAAGAAAAATGTAAGTCTGGTCCTGTCCACAAAGGTAGTCCAGTAAACAAAATGCTGGGCAAACCTTCTTGCATTTGGAAGTCTCCGAAGTCACATATCCTAGGTCTGGTCAAAGCTTAAATTATCTAGGTTTTCAGAGTGCAGCGGGAATTTGCAGTTTTGTCTCATTTCAAATAATCTTTCACAAGCAACCTGTTTTGCGGTGTATATTTTGCTATTCTAGAGGGGAGATCTTTCTGTTTAATCCAGGCCACAAGGTTGAATCAACAACTCACATGAGGACTAAACCGTTTCCAGTATAACGTGTATACAAAGAGAAAAACTCCAGCCAGAATATTGCCCATCTGGTAAATGTAGTATAGTGAAAGCTATTAAACCGTGTTCATCTCAATCTATACTGTTGAATGCAGGGAGGTATGAAGGAGAAGGATTGTGCTAGCGACTTGCTCTGTGTGGCAATGTAACTACTCAAAGTATATAGTCCTGCTAGAAAGTCACAGAAGGAGTCTGCCCAAGAAAAAGGAGAATAGAAAATAATCCAAAAATAAGAAATTACACTGCACCCATAATCTGGGGGGGTGGGGGGGTTTGTATACACTGTGCAATTCAATATGTACTGTATATAAGAAACATCAATTTGAAAAGGCACACAGACTTCATGTTAGACTTCTCAGAAGACATCAAAAATGACACCGCATTTCTCCCATACTTGTCAGTGTAGCTCCATTTATTGTTAACTTGTTTGCTAAAAGTAAGTTAACAGACCCAGAATAAGGCAGCAAATAATATAGACTTCTCTTTCTTGGTAAAGAATTTCAGTTTTAACAAACTAAGAGATAAGAGTGGCATAAAGTCAGACAGTGACAAGACCATCTACTGAACAAATGCCTTCCTCCAATTTAATGAAAAATGTAAATAGTTGGGATTGAATGTGTTATTGCCTTACAACACACAATATCCAGGGTATATATATTGTTAAGGTTCATCATTTATGCCCCAAGATTTTTTATCTTCAAGTTACATTAACTAAATTTTATTCTTTACAAAGAAAATGTTATACAACCACTTTACAGTATTCAAATATGCATTTTACAAGTGGAAGATGCAATTTCCAGCTACATTGTACAGTAAATTATTGGTTATGTAATATGGCACATACTGTAAAATAGGTTAAACAAAAAATACAGTAACAAAACAAATAAAAAAATTAAGATTGTTGTAAACGGTTATTACACACTGACAAACAAGGAATGTTTTTTTTTTATTGACAGTTAAGTTAAGGCTGTGCTTAATGGAGATAGACACAGAGGATAAATAGCCTTAATAAAGGCACATAAGAGGTGGCACAGCAAAATTCATTTAAAATCTGTACAATCACTGTTGAATATGCAGGCATGCAATTATCGTAAAACCGCACAGTTTCTTTTCGGAGCAAAATGAGAGTATTCCGTTAAAATAAAATGACATATATTCTCCAGTCCATGGTTTTAAATGTTATTTATTTTTAAAAAAATGTTGAAAAAAAAAACAATTAAAAAAAATAGAAAAAAGGAGATTTGGACAAACGTTTCATAAGACATTATAGGAAATTATTTGAACAAAGTGCCTCGATGCCCCTAACAATAGATTTGTGCCGTTTAGACTAGAAGTTTGTCTAGAATGTAGTGGTTAGCCCAAAACAGGTATCTCGTTCAAGTGAAGGAAGGAGGACAGTTTCACTGACATTATAAAAGTTGACTTTTTTTTTTTTTTCAAGTATTTGGGTTTGTACGGCCACAGGTTAAGAACAATGCTATCTTACAGTACAAAGTTTATATTATGATCCTTCATGAAATATTTCTCTTAAAGAGCTCGTGGCCTCTTCGGGTTGATTTGTTTGCTGGCTTGTTCCTCCTCTTGCAAAGCAGAACGAAAAGATTTCACTTTATCTGAAAGATATAATAAAATCATATCAACACTTCCATTACGTATGAAAATACAAAATAATTTGTGCTAGAATTTCTTTTAGCTTTAGACATCAACATATAAAACAAGGAACTTGTGACAGAAAACGCATATCCTGTGAGAAAACCGCCAAATATTCCAGAAATAATCTGGTAGATGTCTTTTATTCTATTCAAATGAAACAACAAGCTATTCAAGCAAGTAGAGTGAAGAAACTCACAGAATGAAGATTTAAACACATTGTAATGGCGGCGTGGCTTGGACGCCGGACGAGATGGCGGCGTGAACCAAGAGCTCCATGCAGGCCCAGCACTACTACCCGCCTAACCTGCACCAAATATCACAATCATGGGCAAAACACACAAGCCACAACAAGCTGCTTCGTCCACCAACACCCCGAGGGGGTCTCAACCAACGGGCATGCGCCAATACCTCACGGGCCAGACCGACCAAACTTCCCAGGCCTCAAGCAACTCAGAGGCCTCGGGCCTAGCCCGCTCGGCCTCACCTCAAGAAATGAAAAGGCAACGCAAAAGCCTAATCCACCGCCACCCCAGCCGGACTGGGTGACACTAATCAGTAAACTACCTACGAAAGCGGATTTAAAAGAGGAAAATGCAGCACTCCACAAATCCATCGCAAGGGAACTCCATGCCCTAAGGGAGAATATGCAGGGGATCCAGCACAAACTGGCCCAGCTGGAGGCAGACTGCGACCACGGGCATCATACAAAGACAAGAAGTACAACTTCGCCAAATGGCCCTCCATGTGGAGGATTTGGATAACCGGGGGAGAAGGCAGAACATAATAATCAGGGGCCTACCCGAGGAACTGGACCAGACCACCCAGATTAGTGGCACCCTCACGGAGATATTTAATGCCCTCCTACAAAGGCCGAACACAGCACCCACTGAATTTGTCAGGGCACACAGAGACCTTAGACCTAGAGGCCCACCTGACTCCCCCCTAGAGACGTCGTATGCTGTTTAACGCACTTCCAAGTGAAAGAAGACATCCTGAAAAGTGCCAGAGATATAAAGTTCTCCACAATGGCACGGAAATACAACTGTACCCGGACCTTTCACCAGCAACGCTGGCATACCGACGGGCCATGCGCCCTCTCACGCGAGTATTGCAGACCAACAAGATCAGATATCGGTGGCGTTTCCCTACCGGAGTACAAGTTACCACAACTAACCGCAAAACCCGAGCAGGGGGCCGGCGAGGGCCGGAACGGATGTCCGGTTCCGCTGAGCCCCCCGGTTTGCCAGACTGCTCCTGGACTATGTGAGCTAAAGCAAGGGGAGGGCAACTGGGAAAGGAGGGCACACACGCTTAGGTCTTTTCACCTGTGACAAGCGGAGCTAGGGGGCGCCTCCCGCCCTGGCTGGGCCCGGTCTCCAGCACCTGCCTGCCTTGTGACGAACCTCGGGGAGCAGGCAGGAGGTGATGCTGGAGGGGCACCGTCTGAACACCCAAGGAGAGAGGGAAGCTATCGTAGCCAGGACAATCAGCCCACTAACGCTCTCTGAGCAGTCACACACTACCAAGAGCAGTGGGGGGGGGGAACATGGACACATAGGGGACAACTACGCCGGGACCGCACACCCAGAATAGCTTTAGCGACAAAGATAGTGAAACACAAGTTCGCCACAGATTCCGAGAAAATAACCAATCACGCCATAAACCAAACCAAAGGCACATGCACGCCTTGAGGGAGACAGCGAACACAACATGGAGGAATAAGGGACATAACAGCACACACTAGACAGGCTGGCCAGTGGGAACCTGGGAAACAAAAGGTTAAGGACAAAATGTATATAACCTTGAACTGTTACAGATTTGTCAAAATTGTTTTCACCTGTTGTGATAAATGACCAAATGTTAATGTTTATGACATGCTACACAGCCACAAACAGAAGCACCGCACACAAAGACAAACAACCATGCAGGCCCTAGGGCTAACGCACCCCAAGCGGGGAAAACGAACACACTCCTACTGAGTTATCACTGAGGAGCCGCACAGGGATGACACGGGACCTAACACACCACTAGGACACCGTATCAGACACCCAGACACCCTACTAACACCCCAAAGGCGAGGCGTCACCCAGAAGGTGAGCAACCCACGTGCACCACTGGTGGTGCAGTGGATTGAAGCTCCCCGACGCCTATACCTAGCCTTCACGAGAACATGACGGGACCACCGGAGGTCCCTGGAAACCTCCACGACTACTTTGTAAACCTAACCCTTTAACCCCCCCCTCACCCCAACTTCGCACTGACTACAGCGCACAGGACACAGGACACCCCAAGACCAACTGCATCACAGAAGTTTTGGACATAGACACCCCCATAGTGCCCACCCATAGCGACCTGACTTGACGACAGGACATTGACCCCCGAATATCTGCATATGCTCACAGTAAATGCAAAAGGACTAAACAAACTAGAGAAGAGATCGGGAGCACTGAGAGATTTTCATAAACAAAGGGCCTCTATAGTCATGATACAAGAAACCCACTTTAAAAAGGGGACCAGACCCAAACTGACCAACCATCACTACACACAATGATATTACAGTGACTATAAAGGGGGAAAAGCCAGGGGGACAGCGATACTTCTCCACAGTAGAGTGCCGTTCCAGGAGGGGGGCTGCATGTCAGACAACAAAGGCAGATATCTATTCCTCAAAGGGAAAATTGCAGAACACAAGTACACGTTCGCAAACATATACGCCCCAAATAAACAGCATTTTCGCTTCCTCAAACAGACACTCTGCAAACTCCAAGATTTCACAGAGGGGATCCTCATACTTGGGGGAGACTTTAACATCGCACTTGACTCTACACGGGACAACTCAACGGGCGCCTCCCATGTCGCAACACAACAACTCCAGAACATTAAAACCCTACTCCGCAACCGACACCTTGTCGATTGCTGGA